AAAACTGGGAAATCTCACACCTCCTCATCCATCAGCAAGTCAGTCACTATCTCCACACATACGTTTTCCATGTTGTTTGATCTCTCTGCTCGATGGTCCACACAACGGGTATGCACATCCGAGAATGGGAACAATCAGGTGATAAGCATACTGTCACTGCTCTCCTATTTCAATAGCACCACAGTCAGTGTCTCTCCTCATTATCATATCATATCAATGGGCAAATGGGCAACAACAATTGATGACTTACGATATACTGTGATGTTTCTCAAACTTGGCCCGCTCGTCATATTGAGGAGTGTGCATCCACGAACCAGAGTCTCCGTCAGATCAGTCTCAGTTGGTTGTGATCCACGAGACAAACGCAACTGCACATTCACAATCGCTCGAACAGCTTCGATTGAAACACGATTGACACCCGCGTCTGTGTGAGCTTGGCCGACACCGTCAATCCAGATCATGATCCGAATGAAGATAACACGAACACAAGTAGCACCTCGAGAAATCTCTTCATTACCCAGACGTAGACCGTTCAATAGCTGCAAAGTGCAAAACAAAATCACACAGAATACACAATCAGTCACTTAGTCGATCTGTCGATCCGTCGTTCGCTTGCTCATATATCAACACCACAATTACAATTTTCAATTAGACCGGTGTCGACGAGTGCTCATCATCGCCGTCATCATTATGATGACTAACTGTATGATTACCACTTCACAAATCGACAATCACTGGCTTACCCACTCAACCAACCGACGCTCACACTACCAATGTGAACACCACTCAATACACCGACTCATCACTACTGGCTTCAATTTCACACTTACATGACCACTAACTCACTACATGCTCACCTACTAACTCACCAACTACTAACTTCTTACCTACTGACCAACTCATTGCCTTCTTACATACTTTCGTTCCGACCTACGCACTTCCACGCCCACTAACTAACTCAGTCTGTACATTACACATTCATCAATTCGCTTTAAACTATGCCCTCTCTCCCGGAGATTTTCACTCCCTTCATTTCACAGAATGGTTTGTCCAGTACACTGGTGTGATTCGAACAACTCACGCACTGCTTCTCTGATTATTGCATACCAGTGCACTCAGAACACAATAAACATAACGAATGCACACCTACCAGGTCACAAATTGACGTCGATAAATTTCTGTACATGACACTTGACTGATTCGACAGATCAGATGACCAATTCATGGGCACTGACCGTTCTCCAATATAGATCACAATATCCACCTCGAACACGGAGATCTCTACAAATGGAAAGGAATGAAACATTTCGATTCAATCAAAGTAATCATATTGAAATTCATGTCATGAAAACAACAACAACAACTACTACTACTACTTCTACTACTACTACTACTACTATTGTGATTATTATTAATAATATTTTACTATTACTTTTGTTAGTAGTAGTATTATGATTTTCATTGTCAATCTTGGTAATTTTATGAGTAATGTTATCATTAAACCTGTCATTAACTCTACTATCAGAGTGTTATTAACATTTACATCAACAACAATGACAATAGTGCAACGAACTGTACCAACACCTTCATGACGATGTCGGAGATTCGATGTTACCTATATTATTTAATCACTATCCAACCCAGTATGCGTACAGGCAAAACCGTGTGAACACGGCCCCTCTTTATCATATTTTGCTAAGGCGGTTGCAAGAACAGTAAAATTTCATTAGAAAGGCTAACATCTCTTCAGGAACGATAACCGCTCGCATACTTTCTACCAATTCGATTTCCCACATGACCTTTGCTACCTGATTGGTCGTCTTGTTTTTTGGCTGGCTAAATGGCTGTACTCTTGAAGGTCATGTTCTGCCACTATAGTAACAACTTTTGTGACGATTTCGCTTGAGGTGCTTGTTCTACAATAAATATCAAGTTGCCTGCAATTCCGTTTTCTCGCTGTATTAGCCATCAAGATTTTATGTGTTGGGTATAATTGACTATTGTCAGTTCCGAAGAAAACCGATTGTATTGGAGGAGCTCAGCCGTCTTCCTTCATCAATCCGTAACATTGTCGGCTGTATTGAACCCCAATGACAAGACACAACATATTCAAAAGTTGGAAGATGATTTTTTCACAATAAACAATAAATCAGTGGTGGCTGCTAGGAATTATTTACGGAGTACTGTTGCACACATTAATATTAATTGAATATTAGGTCACTTTATGATATATATGGTAATATGCCTTCTATAGTAAAATTCTACTTGACATATTACATGTTGTTATTCCACACAACATTCTTTACTTAATACAAATTTATCATATACAGCGTCCTACACTCACAGCCACTTTAAGCTTGATCTCGTATAAATATGATATTTCAATTGATAGTGTGACGCCATTTGGTATGCTTGCATATAGACAACGCATGACTGAAGGGAATAATTCAAATCGTGAAGGCTGGTACGTGTGATCTTGACAAGATGCGCTGCACTAAGCGAGAAGTTACTACACACGGTAAAAATAGACTCAAAGTTGCACAGATTCTAATAGCGATAGTTTAAGACAGATGTAATCATCACAGAAAGAAGATCAAAGAAATAGCAATCGCGGGAAAAGAAAAAGCATATTGAAATAATGAACGAACGAGAAGAAACACAATAAGAAATAACACGTGATAATAGTGCACAAACTAATCCTGGGAGTTACCATTCCTTTAGACTTCGTCGCATATAACAGTCAGTAGGTCAGTTAGTCCAATGATCTGTCAGCAACTAAATAAATAAACAAATCAGTCAAGCAATCAACGGACACTGCACAGCAACACATCTCGTGTGAGCGTATGTAGGAAAAGATGTGCACTGCACTCGATGTTATGCAACATAATGTGAACCTACCGAAAGCAGCTCCAGTAGTAGTTGATGACGGGCTGGTCATCAGCACAGTCGACCTCGCAGTCACCGTCTCCGTCGACGTGGTCCTGATCGGCTGCCTCGATTCTGTCGAGACACTTGTTTCAGTCGATGCCACAGTGCTTGTCCGTGGACCTGTTGAATTAAACGGAAAACACATGTAGTTGTATTCATCGGCCAGTAATATCTTCATGTCAGCTTTCATACGGGACTACGGTGGTTGATATTTCGACCATCTTATTTATTCTACTAACAAGATGTTGTTTGTCCGACTCAACAGAACACCAACTGATGCACAACAACGCTTCGAATTGGATAGTCTACATGTTCTTTTGAGAGAGAGAAGACTGAGTCTTCATTGCAACTCTAAATTTCGGACAGTAACCAAAACTTAAAATAACACAACTCTCTTTATAAAGTGACACCCAGTGACCTTAACACGCATTGCGAAAATGACAACTGCAATTCAGGCAGTAACAAATGTCATTGAAGGAGTATGAATTCGAAGAATCTTATCTGGGATATCCTACAATCAATAAACTAACATGCAATAACAAACACTCATACGAACTCATTTCTCCTTAGCACACCGATTCACTCTTCATAGTTTAGAAAACCTGCACAAATCAATGCAACACAACACGGTCACATTACAGAAGTGCTACACCGTACATTGTAAAAAACAAACACTCAACATCAATAATAATAATAATAATAATAATAATAATAATAATAATAATAATAATCACCACGATGCATGTGACCTCGGAATGCTTGAGAGTCTCACACCTCCTCATCCATCAGCAAGTCAGTCACTATCTTCACTCATACGTTTTCCATGTTGTTTTGATCTCTCTGCTCGATGGTCCCACAACGGATGTGTACATCCAAGATTGGGAACAATCAAGTGATAAGCAATACTGTCACTGCTTTCCTATTTCAATAGCGCCACAGTCGGTGTCTCTCCTCACTGCCATATCATACCATATCACATCATATCGTATCGTAACATATCATTGGGAAAACGAGCAACATTAAGTGACGACTTACGATATACTGTGATGTTTCTCAAACTTGGCCCGCTCGTCATATTGAGGAGTGTGCATCCACGAACCAGAGTCTCCGTCAGATCAGTCTCAGTTGGTTGTGATCCACGAGACAAACGCAACTGCACATTCACAATCGCTCGAACAGCTTCGATTGAGACACGATTGACACCCGCGTCTGTGTGAGCTTGGCCGACACCGTCAATCCAGATCATGATCCGAATGAAGATAACACGAACACAAGTAGCACCTCGAGAAATCTCTTCATTACCCAGACGTAGACCGTTCAATAGCTGCAACGGGCAAAACAAAATCACACAGAATACAAAATCAGTCACTTAGTCGATCTGCCGATCCGTCGTTCGCTTGCTCATATATCAACACCACAATTACAATTTTCAATTAGACCGGTGTCGACGAGTGCTCATCATCGCCGTCATCATTATGACGACTAACTGCATGACTATCACTTCAAAAACGGACAATCACTGGCTTACCCACTCAATCAACCGACGCTCACACTACCAACGTGAACATCACTCAATACACCGACTCATCACTACTGGCTTCAATTTCACACTTACATGACCACTAACTCACTACCTGCTCACCTACTTACTCACCAACTACTAACTTCTTACCTACTGACCAACTCATTGCCTTCTTACATACTTTCGTTCCGACCTACGCACTTCCACGCCCACTTACTAACTCAGTCTGTACATTACACATTCATCAATTCGCTTTAAACTATGCCCTCTCTTCCGGAGATTTTCACTCCCTTCATTTCACAGAATGGTTTGTCCAGTACACTGGTGTGATTCGAACAACTCACGCACTGCTTCTCTGATTATTGCATACCAGTGCACTCAGAACACAATAAACATAACGAATGCACACCTACCAGGTCACAAATTGACGTCGACAAATTTCTGTACATTACACTTGACTGATTCGACAGATCAGATGACCAATTCATGGGCACTGACCGTTCTCCAATGTAGATCACAATATCCACCTCGAACACGGAGATCTCTACAAATGGAAAGGAATGAAACATTTCGATTCAATCAAAGTAATCATATTGAAATTCATGTCATGAAAACAACAACAACAACAACAACTACTACTACTACTACTTCTACTACTACTACTACTACTACTAATACTAATACTACTACTACTACTATTGTGATTATTATTAATAATATTTTACTATTACTTTTGTTAGTAGTAGTATTATGATTTTCATTGTCAATCTTGGTAATTTTATGAGTAATGTTATCATTAAACCTGTCATTAACTCTACTATCAGAGTGTTATTAACATTTACATCAACAACAATGACAATAGTGCAACGAACTGTACCAACACCTTCATGACGATGTCGGAGATTCGATGTTACCTATATTATTTAATCACTATCCAACCCAGTATGCGTACAGGCAAAACCGTGTGAACACGGCCCCTCTTTATCATATTTTGCTAAGGCGGTTGCAAGAACAGTAAAATTTCATTAGAAAGGCTAACATCTCTTCAGGAACGATAACCGCTCGCATACTTTCTACCAATTCGATTTCCTACATGACCTTTGCTACCTGATTGGTCGTCTTGTTTTTTGGCTGGCTAAATGGTTGTACTCTTGAAGGTCATGTTCTGCCACTATAGTAACAACTTTTGTGACGATTTCGCTTGAGGTGCTTGTTCTACAATAAATATCAAGTTGCCTGCAATTCCGTTTTCTCGCTGTATTAGCCATCAAGATTTTATGTGTTGGGTATAATTGACTATTGTCAGTTCCGAAGAAAACCGATTGTATTGGAGGAGCTCAGCCGTCTTCCTTCATCAATCCGTAACATTGTCGGCTGTATTGAACCCCAATGACAAGACACAACATATTCAAAAGTTGGAAGATGATTTTTTCACAATAAACAATAAATCAGTGGTGGCTGCTAGGAATTATTTACGGAGTACTGTTGCACACATTAATATTAATTGAATATTAGGTCACTTTATGATATATATGGTAATATGCCTTCTATAGTAAAATTCTACTTGACATATTACATGTTGTTATTCCACACAACATTCTTTACTTAATACAAATTTATCATATACAGCGTCCTACACTCACAGCCACTTTAAGCTTGATCTCGTATAAATATGATATTTCAATTGATAGTGTGACGCCATTTGGTATGCTTGCATATAGACAACGCATGACTGAAGGGAATAATTCAAATCGTGAAGGCTGGTACGTGTGATCTTGACAAGATGCGCTGCACTAAGCGAGAAGTTACTACACACGGTAAAAATAGACTCAAAGTTGCACAGATTCTAATAGCGATAGTTTAAGACAGATGTAATCATCACAGAAAGAAGATCAAAGAAATAGCAATCGCGGGAAAAGAAAAAGCATATTGAAATAATGAACGAACGAGAAGAAACACAATAAGAAATAACACGTGATAATAGTGCACAAACTAATCCTGGGAGTTACCATTCCTTTAGACTTCGTCGCATATAACAGTCAGTAGGTCAGTTAGTCCAATGATCTGTCAGCAACTAAATAAATAAACAAATCAGTCAAGCAATCAACGGACACTGCACAGCAACACATCTCGTGTGAGCGTATGTAGGAAAAGATGTGCACTGCACTCGATGTTATGCAACATAATGTGAACCTACCGAAAGCAGCTCCAGTAGTAGTTGATGACGGGCTGGTCATCAGCACAGTCGACCTCGCAGTCACCGTCTCCGTCGACGTGGTCCTGATCGGCTGCCTCGATTCTGTCGAGACACTTGTTTCAGTCGATGCCACAGTGCTTGTCCGTGGACCTGTTGAATTAAACGGAAAACACATGTAGTTGTATTCATCGGCCAGTAATATCTTCATGTCAGCTTTCATACGGGACTACGGTGGTTGATATTTCGACCATCTTATTTATTCTACTAACAAGATGTTGTTTGTCCGACTCAACAGAACACCAACTGATGCACAACAACGCTTCGAATTGGATAGTCTACATGTTCTTTTGAGAGAGAGAAGACTGAGTCTTCATTGCAACTCTAAATTTCGGACAGTAACCAAAACTTAAAATAACACAACTCCCTTTATAAAGTGACACCCAGTGACCTTAACACGCATTGCGAAAATGACAACTGCAATTCAGGCAGTAACAAATGTCATTGAAGGAGTATGAATTCGAAGAATCTTATCTGGGCTATCCTACAATCAATAAACTAACATGCAATAACAAACACTCATACGAACTCATTTCTCCTTAGCACACCGATTCACTCTTCATAGTTTAGAAAACCTGCACAAATCAATGCAACACAACACGGTCACATTACAGAAGTGCTACACCGTACATTGTAAAAAACAAACACTCAACATCAATAATAATAATAATAATAATAATAATAGTCACCACGATGCATGTGACCTCGGAATGCTTGAGAGTCTCACACCTCCTCATCCATCAGCAAGTCAGTCACTATCTTCACTCATACGTTTTCCATGTTGTTTTGATCTCTCTGCTCGATGGTCCCACAACGGATGTGCACATCCGAGATTGGGAACAATCAAGTGATAAGCAATACTGTCACTGCTTTCCTATTTCAATAGCGCCACAGTCGGTGTCTCTCCTCACTGCCATATCATACCATATCACATCATATCGTATCGTAACATATCATTGGGAAAACGAGCAACATTAAGTGACGACTTACGATATACTGTGATGTTTCTCAAACTTGGCCCGCTCGTCATATTGAGGAGTGTGCATCCACGAACCAGAGTCTCCGTCAGATCAGTCTCAGTTGGTTGTGATCCACGAGACAAACGCAACTGCACATTCACAGTCGCTCGAACAGCTTCGATTGAGACACGATTGACACCCGCGTCTGTGTGAGCTTGGCCGACACCGTCAATCCAGATCATGATCCGAATGAAGATAACACGAACACAAGTAGCACCTCGAGAAATCTCTTCATTACCCAGACGTAGACCGTTCAATAGCTGCAACGGGCAAAACAAAATCACACAGAATACAAAATCAGTCACTTAGTCGATCTGCCGATCAGTCGTTCGCTTGCTCATATATCAACACCACAATTACAATTTTCAATTAGACCGGTGTCGACGAGTGCTCATCATCGCCGTCATCATTATGACGACTAACTGCATGACTATCACTTCAAAAACGGACAATCACTGGCTTACCCACTCAACCAACCGACGCTCACACTACCAATGTGAACACCACTCAATACACCGACTCATCACTACTGGCTTCAATTTCACACTTACATGACCACTAACTCACTACCTGCTCACCTACTTACTCACCAACTACTAACTTCTTACCTACTGACCAACTCATTGCCTTCTTACATACTTTCGTTCCGACCTACGCACTTCCACGCCCACTTACTAACTCAGTCTGTACATTACACATTCATCAATTCGCTTTAAACTATGCCCTCTCTCCCGGAGATTTTCACTCCCTTCATTTCACAGAATGGTTTGTCCAGTACACTGGTGTGATTCGAACAACTCACGCACTGCTTCTCTGATTATTGCATACCAGTGCACTCAGAACACAATAAACATAACGAATGCACACCTACCAGGTCACAAATTGACGTCGACAAATTTCTGTACATTACACTTGACTGATTCGACAGATCAGATGACCAATTCATGGGCACTGACCGTTCTCCAATGTAGATCACAATATCCACCTCGAACACGGAGATCTCTACAAATGGAAAGGAATGAAACATTTCGATTCAATCAAAGTAATCATATTGAAATTCATGTCATGAAAACAACAACAACAACAACTACTACTACTACTACTTCTACTACTACTACTACTACTACTACTACTACTACTAATACTACTACTACTACTATTGTGATTATTATTAATAATATTTTACTATTACTTTTGTTAGTAGTAGTATTATGATTTTCATTGTCAATCTTGGTAATTTTATGAGTAATGTTATCATTAAACCTGTCATTAACTCTACTATCAGAGTGTTATTAACATTTACATCAACAACAATGACAATAGTGCAACGAACTGTACCAACACCTTCATGACGATGTCGGAGATTCGATGTTACCTATATTATTTAATCACTATCCAACCCAGTATGCGTACAGGCAAAACCGTGTGAACACGGCCCCTCTTTATCATATTTTGCTAAGGCGGTTGCAAGAACAGTAAAATTTCATTAGAAAGGCTAACATCTCTTCAGGAACGATAACCTCTCGCATACTTTCTACCAATTCGATTTCCCACATGACCTTTGCTACCTGATTGGTTGTCTTGTTTTTTGGCTGGCTAAATGGCTGTACTCTTGAAGGTCATGTTCTGCCACTATAGTAACAACTTTTGTGACGATTTCGCTTGAGGTGCTTGTTCTACAATAAATATCAAGTTGCCTGCAAGATGATTTTTTCACAATAAACAATAAATGAGTGGTAGCTGCTAGGAATTATTTACGGAGTACTGTTGCACACATTAATATTAATTGAATATTAGGTCACTTTATGATATATATGGTAATATGCCTTCTATAGTAAAATTCTACTTGACATATTACATGTTGTTATTCCACACAACATTCTTTACTTAATACAAATTTATCATATACAGCGTCCTACACTCACAGCCACTTTAAGCTTGATCTCGTATAAATATGATATTTCAATTGATAGTGTGACGCCATTTGGTATGCTTGCATATAGACAACGCATGACTGAAGGGAATAATTCAAATCGTGAAGGCTGGTACGTGTGATCTTGACAAGATGCGCTGCACTAAGCGAGAAGTTACTACACACGGTAAAAATAGACTCAAAGTTGCACAGATTCTAATAGCGATAGTTTAAGACAGATGTAATCATCACAGAAAGAAGATCAAAGAAATAGCAATCGCGGGAAAAGAAAAAGCATATTGAAATAATGAACGAACGAGAAGAAACACAATAAGAAATAACACGTGATAATAGTGCACAAACTAATCCTGGGAGTTACCATTCCTTTAGACTTCGTCGCATATAACAGTCAGTAGGTCAGTTAGTCCAATGATCTGTCAGCAACTAAATAAATAAACAAATCAGTCAAGCAATCAACGGACACTGCACAGCAACACATCTCGTGTGAGCGTATGTAGGAAAAGATGTGCACTGCACTCGATGTTATGCA